TAACTCGAGGTACCACTGTATAGGCACTTGTAACAATCCAGCTTCAAGCCATCATTCCAGTCAACCCCTTGTCATATTGGTATTCAAATAATAACAACAACAACAACAACAACAACTTAACCAAATGGTTAAATCATTATCCAGCAGGGTTCATTTAGCATAATCATTTTTGCTCAAAAGATCATGTTTAAATGAACTCACAAGTTCAGTATTAAATTCAATTTGGATGCCACCTAGCTCCAACTGACTCTGCGCGGCTCACAACAACAATAACAAAAACAACAAAATACTGAAAATTTACCCAAACAAGTACAAAATAGCCACAAAATAATCATAAGATGGTAAGCAAACATATTTAAACACATTTAATAAATGTTTAAATAATTATTTAACAGAGTTCATTTAGCATAAAAAATTTTGTTCAAAAGTTCATTTCATTGATTATTTGTTCAAACACCATCATCTTTTTTAGTAAATTGGTATTTGTTTCTTAAGATGTCCTAACTTTGCCAGAATGTCAGTATATTGCATGTACTTTTGTATTGGTAGGATGCAGGCAACAGTATGTTGTCTTGCAAGATAGTCTCTTGCAAGATAAAAATCCCAATTGCATAGAATAACGTGAACATCCTTGGGGTAAAAGCAGACTGTGATTCCCCTGGTGGCACACTGGGCCGAGAGTGCCGAAACTGACAGGTACTGTCCTTACCTGCAGGGAATATGCAAATGGAACAGGTACAGCTAAAGCCGGTGCCCTAATACATACTTTCTCTATGTTATGTGAGTGCTCAGTTGAAAAAAAGTGTTATGTGAAGCCTCAATTGATCAAAACCACGATTGGCAGTGGGTGTCAATATCTATGGGTCCATCAGGTGACAACTATAGCATGTAGAACTGCTAAAATTCAATACAGATTGTGGTAAGATATAAATGCAATAAGTAAATCAGCATGGAACTGTGCACCTGGAGTAAATGGTAAAGAACACGAATTAATACATGAAGTGGAAGAAAGAGAAATAGATAAGCTGCATGTCTATGAAATGAAGAGATAGGAGAAGGCTGTCATAGATCTGAATGAAGGCGGTCTGATCTTGTAGAAAGGAATCGATTATTACCTGCAGGGAAGTGAAGCATAGTTTTAATTATGAACTGAAAGTATGTCAGAAAGTATTAATTAGAGTCATCTGGGTTATTGCGGGTGCATAGGACAGTAAGAATTCATAGGATGGTGATAGTTGCAGGTTATACTTCAGTGAATGGTGATAATGGAAAAACCAGACATGAGTTTTGGGGAAAAATACACAACTTTCTAAATGAATGCAACCCTATAGAAAAAAGTATCCTATTGGATGATTGGGGTGAATGGGTATAGATGTGGTGTGAGAGTACAGAAAAAGTGACTGGGCTATTTGGAGACCCACAAATGAATGAGAATGGTGATGGTTTGGTAGTTACTGTTCAAAAATAATGATGTTTCTTTTAAATACATGTTTTAATCGTTAATCTATTCATGTACAAACATAAAAAACCTGATTGATTTGATTGCCTATGATGAAAGACTGAGAGAATTAGTGAAGGCCCAAGAATAGTGAGAAGTCCTAAGCATGAGACAAATTGTTTTGTCAAGAGTGGATCAGAGAAAAATGTACATGGGAAAAGAAAGAAGTGAAAAAAAATAAAAGTATGCAGTACTAACTGCAAGAGAAAGCATGAGCCTTGCATGAAAAAGTATTAGAAGATAGACTAATCTCCTAATCTAGGAAGATCCAGGATTAATAGAAAGTGAATGTAAGGAAAGGGGATTTGGAAGGTATGTGGAACAGAATGATAAGAATTAAGCTACAGAGTTGTGGAATTACATTAATATGAAATATGAAAAAGGATGCTTCGTAGAGGGATAAAGTTGTAGATAAGAAAAAAATTGCATAGAAGATAATGATTGATGCAATAAATTAGGACCAGAGAAAGATACTGTATAATGTATAGGGCAATAAAAAGGTAGTTGCAAAGAATGTAGTCAAAGTGAGAAACTGCAAAGCAATTCTGATGGAAATAAACAATTATTTTTAAAGTGGGGGAAAAGGGCTAAACAGGGATCCACCAGGAGTGTGAACACTATCAAAAGTGATGCAATTATTTGGGGTGAAACTGAGGAAATGCTGGAAGAAGAATTGTAGTAATCTGCAGTATGGGAATGATAGCAATAAGTTGAAGAATAAAATTAAAACGAATGCTATAAATGTTAGTGTCCAAGAAAAATTGATTAAAAGGAACTTCTATATATTTTATACATTCTGAAAATGTTGGAAAATAGTGTGACTGCAGGCCATGTAATCACCTGGGCAAATGGCTGGCCATATAAACCAAATAAATAAAAATTAAAAATGGACATGGTTTTCTTATGGAGTCACGGTGCAGCTTGCTTAACACATATGTGAAGAATGCATCTGTCTCTGATGTTGGGAAGAGGTAGTTTAGCACAAGACTGAAAAAGTAAAACAGTGGAGACGAGACAAAATGGTTCCCTCTGCTGTCTCTCAAGTAGAATGTGGAGAAATCTGAAAGTCAGCATTTGTTGCCTACATAAAGAAAAGAAAGGAAAAGAAACCCTAAAAGTGATTCTGGAGATTCATTTCCTTTCATAACTCCAGTTTGTTGAGTTTCTTAAACTGTATTCAACTCCGGTTACAACAGCACACAATGTAGGAATTGCACAGGAAAGAGCCTACGAAGGAAGGATACAATCCTGCAGCCTGACCTGCCCCATTCTTGCTGGAACATACCTTGCTATGGCTTACCTTATGTTGTGAATGTCTACTCTGTTGTATGTTTTAAAAAAATACTATCGAGAAGGGGGACAGGTGATTGAGTGGACTACAGAGGGCCAAGTTAAAATGAATTACTCTTTCTATTTTTCTGCTAAAACTGCCTTCTAATGTTTGAGAATGACGTGTCAAAGAATTTTTTGGATCTTCCACCATCAGAAAAGTAGCCCTTCACTTCCACCTCATAAACAACACTTCATTCTGAAGTTTTAGTACTGTACCATTTTGCTTACTTTAATTGTTTCATAAGAAAAACTGGCAAGAGCAGTATATACGCTGGGGAAGATAGGAAAGATTTAAGAGAGGGTATTAATTACTGGACCATTTCCAGAGGCATAGCCATGCTAGTATTTTACAGCAAAAGCAACTGTCTAGTGGCACCATAAAGATCTAAATTTATATATGTGTGTATATGTGAAATTTTAGCATTATGAATTTTGTATTATAAATATGTCCATGAAGCAACAATAACAACTCCATAAGGTTGGGGTTATGTATATATTATATTCAGGTTAAGACCAGATTGGTTGACATTCTGTACGCAGACTGACGCCAAGGTAATTTAAAAATGGATTAGAAGCCAAATAAAGCAGGGATAATGTGGGTATGAGATAAGCTGTACTTAATGCATTAACCAGAGGCCTCTTAAATGGGGCATGGTGGTGATACGTGGTGAGATGATCTTACAAACAACCAGAGGACTCTTAAAGAGGGAAGTGCAATCCAATCTCTATCCATGGACTTGATACTATTAGGTATGTAACTGTTAACTAAACCTTCATAGTATCATGATCCACAGGCCTAATTAAAGAGTTTAATTTGCTATCAGGAAATATCCATTACATTTTCAACTTTGGGGAGAAATTAAAGAGCGATCCTTATTGGAGGCATTACAGGTAGTTTTCTCAAATGCCAGTCTTGGGTGATCTTGAAAAGCAACGGTAGGTTGATTGATTGATTGATTGATTGATTGATTGATTGATTGATTGATTGATTG